GACTATGAGAAAGCGTCAGACAATGTGAATAGGAGAACACTAAGGTGTACCTGAAAAATTTGGCAACATCATCCTGAACTCATACGACGGACTACAGTGCAAAGTGGTGCATGGAGGACAGCTTACCAACTCATTCCAAATAAGCATCGGAGTCAGACAAGGCTGCTCACTCTCATCCTTTGTTTTTCTTCTAGTGGTTGACTGAATTATGAAGACCTCCATATCTGGAGGGAAACTCGGAACACAATGGATAGATTGGATTCCGCCAGACGATTTGAACTTCACAAATGACCTTGCTCTTTTATCCGATACGCATAAACAAGTGTGGGGGGAGGCAGTCAGTGTAGCAGCAGCCTCTGCATCAGAAAACCTCTACATACAGGAGAAAAGTAACATCCTCAAATACAACACGGAGAACACCAATTCAGTCACACATGATGGAGCAACTCTGGAAGAGTTGGAAACATTCACATACCTGCGAAGCGTCATCAATGAACGAAAAGGATCAGATGCAGATATAAATTTAAGAACTGGCAAAGCAAGGGAGGCATCCCAACAGTTGAAGAACATATTGAACTCAAAACAACCGTTAGCTAATATCAAAATCACAATCTTCAATACGAACGTCATGACAGTTCTACTGTATGGGGCTGAAACTTGAAGAACTAACACAACCATCTTGAAAAAAGGACAATTATTTATCTACAGTTGTCTACACAAGATACTCAATGTCCGTTGGTCGGATACCTCTACTTACTGTGTGAGAAATCAAACCAGCCTTAAGCTAAGAAGAAAATTAGTGCGAGATTATTGGAGTAAAGCATACATTACGCAAATCATCATGCTGCATTATGAGGCAATATCTAACTCGAAATCCTGAAGGGAAGCTGAAAATTGGAAGGTCAGGGCACACACTACGTTAGGAATTGGAAGCAGACATGATAAGTGTGAACAGCCCCTCACGCGACTGGAAAGGTTTGCCTAGGACAGACGTGGATTGAGAATACTGGTGGGTGGCCTGTGCTCCTTCAGGAAAGAGTAACAGGCGTTAGTATGTGAGCAGTTATAGAACAAACACTGGATAAAAATTTATAAGTTTGGTAGGGTAAACAAAAGAGCCACTGTTTCATAAGTCATTCCATGGAGTGAGACTGAAAAATATACGGTGTTTTTCTAGATCCCGACAATGTTCGGTAGACTGGCAGGTCACCATGGTATGTGTTCAGCGTGGATGATCGAGGTTTAGTCGAGTTGGTCGACAATGATGCGACTCAGTTAACATCGAAGTGACACTTTGAGGTTAATACTTACCCTGCTATCGTGATGACCAGGTGGATCTGCCTCTTCGGTGACCAAAACAAACAGTCTCAATAGGCAAAACATGTTAATACTAACAGGCTTTAGAAGTACAAGACGAAATCACTGCTAAATGCGCCTGTCCATGGCGTTCAGTCGAATAATAAGCATTGATTGTCCTTGGTTTTGAAAAAGAGTAGTAAGCTGTTCGACATATAGTGGGCTAAATTGTTTTGTTACGACTAAATGACATTCCACTGACCCTACATGTTGCCTCGTGTAGATACGGTTCAACTTCATGGACTATTTGGATAGGCATCAGAAAACATTCACCAATGTTACTACTTTGTTTTAAGCCATTGTTAAGACATAACCAAAATCTCTCTTATATAACCTTTCTAAAGAGTCTGTGGAACAACTAATTCGAAAATGTGAAGTCGGCAACTCGTTAGAGAAACAGTCAGATACCGTCGCGCTTAGACTGGGTATTTACAAACGAAGAATTCCTAGTTGAAAACCTCTCAATCCTGACACCCCTGGGGGAAAGCGATCACGCCGTGATAGCCTTCAATTTTGTCGGCAAAACTGAGCTAAGATATTCCACCAACAACATGCACCGGAATTTCAAACGGTTGAATGTGTCAGCTTTATAGGACTATTTACAACAGGTGGATTGGGATGTTCACCCACAACCTGATGTGGATGCTCACTGGGATTTCTTATTGCACACGCTCTTATGTGCAATAAAGCATTCAGTTCCTCAAACAGTCCTCAATAGCTACAAGCAACCTACAATCGTCAAGAACCGCACTCTCCGTTTGCTAAGCCGCAGAAGGCACTGTTGGGCAGAATACAAACTGACAACGGCGCGTACAGGCAATACAAACATATAAGGAACATATGCACGAAGGCTCTAAGAAAAGACAGACTTCAGTACCAGATAAAGCTTATGGGTAAATTTGTCTCTAATCCGAAAAGCTTATTTCGTTGTGCAGCCTCTCTGCGACAAGCCAAAACTGGAGTTTCCCAACTACTAGGTCCTATTGGTCCGACCAATAACGAGGACGACGACGCTAACCTTTTTGCTGAACAATACTCCAGGACATTTCAACCGATCCACATCAACTATACTGATGACAGCTTCATCTGCAACTCCAAAGGACTTTCCAAAGGGAATCTGAGCGCTGACTTGGTGCTTCGGAAACTGCAGCACTTAAGAATTGACACTTTTCCTGGCCCAGATATGGTTCATTCTGCTATGCTGAGGGAGACAGCTTCAATCCTAGCAACAACGATTGGCGTGATGTTCTCACACTCGCTAAGCCGAGGCAAACTTCCGGAAACTTGGAAGCTGGCTCACATCACACCAATTTTCAAAGGAGGTCGACGCAGCGAACCTTCAAGTTACCAACCAGTGGCTCTTCTCTCTATGCCTTCAAAAATCATAGAGTCCCTGATATGTGATAGTATACACGACTATTTACTATCCTTAAATTTATTCTCACCCCAACAGCATGATTTCAGGAAGGGCCATTCCTGTATAACCAACGTGCTGACTGCGGTGGACGGATGGACAAGCATCCTTGGTCGCAAGTAGAAGGTTGATATCATTTACCTTGATTTCTCAAAAGCTTTTGATAGGGTCAACCATACATGTCTTATCAATAAGCTCAAACGATTGGGTATCAAATTACCTCTAATTGACTGGTTCATTTCATATATAAAAAGTAGACGTTTAAGTGTGAGGGTTAACTTCAATTTATCTCAGGCCATGGAATGTCCTAGTGTTGTCCCCCAGGGCTCAATAATGGGACCCCTTCTCTTCTTCATTTATGTAAATGATCTCCCACAATAGGTGTCGTCAGACTCATCACTTTTTGCTGATGACGTGAAACTTTGGAGAGAGATATGCAACCAAGACGATATACAGGCACTTCATGAGGATCTGACTCGACTTCAAAGTTGGACAGACGATAACGGACTTTCCTTTAACACTTCAAAGTGTAAAGTAGTCTATCTGAGACATGTTGCAGACTACAACTACAACTTAAGAAGCTCCTCTGTAGTAGTATCTCGAGTCGCAAAAGATTTAGGAGTCCTGGTATCCTACGAATGAAGTCGTACGCTAGCTGTGACAAGAATGCCTTTCGAGCAAACCTTGCATTGGTAACATTGAAGCTCATTCTTGGCCAGTTTGACGGAAGAACTTCCCAAATAATCTTCAGCAGTTTTATTCGTCCCCATTTAGAGTACAGAAACATGGTATTTCCTCCCTCATTCCAAAAGGACAAGGACACTCTGGAGCGTATCCAAAGGTGAGCCACGAAATCAGTTCAGGACTCAAATTTAAACCTTATGAAGAGCGCCTCCAATCACTCAACCATTACCCATAAGAGTATAGGCGTCCTAGATGTGACCTAATGGCTTACAGTATTGTTAACACTTCTGGACATTTTCTTAAACACCTACCTAAGCTTAGTCCCAGTACAAATCCAAGTGGCAACATCCAGAAACTGGAGATACAACATAGCAGAACGGACTGTAGACATGAATTCTACTCTTTAAGAGTTGTCAAATGCTGGAGTTCGCTGCCGACTGAACTAGTCCAAGCGACGTCCCAGGAAACTTGACCTATTCTTAAGGACTGTAGATCACCAACGTAGATGCTCTATGTCGAAATGATTGGAGACCTACTCGAATTAGACGGGAATGGTGTGACGAAACAGCTAACGTCGAAGTCACACCTTGTGGTCAGAACCTTACGTGGACTACCCCATTGACGTATCAAGGTACTATAGATGCTTTGAAGACTGTACAACACAGAGGACGTCATTACAGAAACATATCAGTTAAAGTAGACCAGTGACCAGTGGAGCTAATCCGTGTCTTGTAGAGACAGGTATCTACCTCAGTACAATGGAAGGCGGTCGCGCAATTTCGTGGATTGGTTGATGTTAGGCACTAACACCATTGGATGCCGGCTCAGTGGTCTAATGGTTAAGTGCTCAGGCGCGAAGCCAGTAGGTCCTGGGTTCGAATCCCGCGGGGTGCGGGATCGTGGATGCGCACTGCTGAGGAGTCCCATACTAGGACGAAACGGCCGTCCAGTGCTTCCAGGTTTCCAACGGTGGTCTAACATCAATTAATTCATGATCTCAACCAAAAACTTAACAATCTCCACAACCCCCATACTGATAAAGTAGATACAATCGAAAGTAAGACCACTGCTGCATGAGCCAGTCCATGGCGTACGATTAACTGATGCGCGTTGGTTGTCCTTGGACTTGGTAGGGATCGATGGTCTGTTCGATATTTAATGACCTAACTGCCGAGTGATTTGGCTAGGGCTCAGTGACATTTCGCTGGCCCTACAGGACTAAGGATAACATCTTATTATGATTTATCAATTTCTTTTTTCCTCTATTATCGTTAATATACCTAGGTTCCTGCCTGAAGGTATTGGTGATCCCCTGTTACTAGACACGGAAGCCCGTTAAGCGAAAGCTGCTTCTATTCCGTCCACAATCATTTGAACTATTTGAACCATTTTAATTATGTCCAGCAAAATCTAAAAGTTTTCCTCAGCCGAGTAGTCATATCAAACTTAGCAACGCCAAAGACCTGGGGGAGGTTTTTAAATACAAAACGCTGGAGCTAAAGAGACAGTATATCACAAAGGTATTGGAAATTGTATAATTCATATTAATTCTCGCGCGCTCAATCCACGAGCAACTACCTTGGATCTGATTGGCTTCTTCAAACTTATCTGAAGGACGGTAATGCATCATTTATGTTGGTTTTCTTTTTTGTTGGGATCGTGAGAGTTTGGTAGTCTTGAGTATTCAGGTTCTCATATGAAAGTTCAAGAACTTTCCTAGTTAGGACTAGGAACTAAACCCTATGCTTTGAAAAACATATTTTTCACTACATGACGGATTATGAGGCGAATTACCTAGATCTTATTGTTCATTACATAGTTTAGTGTGGCGTCCTTTACTTTCAGATATTTTTATGAAAACAGTTACATATACAGTATCGGTATGCATAAAAGACTTTAATGTCCTTTAATTCTGAACAGAAATAAGTTTGTGACGTCACTATAGTGAAGACTATAGTCTTCAGTAATAAGGATATATTCCTTTTTACTATAGTAAAAACAAACTATTGAGAACAAATCATGATTAAGATTTATTTTTCAATTCCTTTCAACTGATGTCAGACATTTAGTAAATCCTACAGTTGTTTATTGGTTGCTAAAGTGAGGATAAAACATTTAGACATAGTTCCATTGTCATTTATATTTATTCAGATGTGTTTTGTTGGTCGAATCCCGGATGGCTGTTAGTCTTCTAGTCATGTTTTCGTATGCATATAATCCCAAGAATTGTGCACGTTGGTGATGAATTTATAATTGATAGCTGATCGACTCTTGCTCATATGAGCGAATAAGTTACAGACATGTCCTAGCCTCCCTATTTTGGAAAAATATTGAGAAATCCCCAACATTGTGGGGGGGGGCTTCCTCATATCTGGGGACATTTCGGGGTCTTTGTGCAATTTACACAAAATTTTCTATAGCGACTTCCCCGAAATCGGGAGATTAGGTTGCGCTCATGTTACCTTGTGACTTTACTTACGGGTGGTAGATATTTACCAGACATATTACGCGGGAGCATTCACATACTGCTAATGCTTGTTAAAAAATTATAATAGCCGATTATATTCGAAGTTAACTTGCTATTTCGATCAATTAAACTAGTTAGTTAAGTGTGAATACTAATCGACATTAATATAAAGCAGCGAATGTTTGCAGTAACTGACAAACCTATGCGATGATAGAAGTGAGTATAGAATGCAACCATAAAGATAATAACAGGTTGCGTTACTCAAAGTCTTACTCGCCAGTGTAGGTTGTCAACGTCGGCGATATGTGTCGATGATCTGGGGCTTACTCGGCCTGAACGAGAATGTCGTGGCTTCCCAGCTTACTTCAAAATCACATCTCGCGGTTATTAGCTAACATGGATTACCCTTCAATCGTATCCAGGTACTGTTGTTGATGACTGTACAACTAAAACAACGTCATGACAGGAATGTATTAGTAAGAATAGATACAAGAACAGAGTATGACCACTGCAGTTAGTTGATGCACGTTGGCTGTCTTTGATATTGACGATGGTCAGCAAGCTGTTTGATATTCAGTGACTCGACTGCCAGATGATTTATATAAATCCCGGTCATATTTCAATGGCCCTACATGAATTCCAAAGTCCCGTATGTTTGTGTGTAAAAAGTTGTTCCAGACGGGCTCAATCGTTCTTAGAATTTCAAACTATCCTATGGTACCAAGTTGTTCTAAATTAGTTGCGGGGGAGGGGACAGACAATATCAGGTCCGAAATAATTGAGTGTCATGTACATTATAAATAATCCAGTTCTTAATATGCGGTAGGGTAATATGAAAAAGTTTAACTTGTGCAGCCATCCAGATAATCCGAGTGTCTCTCAAATTGTCTAAGCAGAGGTCCTCTGAACTGTTTTCAGACGAGTCAGATTTTAACTTTTTCATTTCGCTCCTTCTCTTCAAACCATGTTCGCTATGTTAACTTTTGGTATCATTAATATTAATATTATGTCAAATTATTTGTTATTTACCTTGCTAATTTCATCTTTGCTAAAGTGATGCAGCAGTTCAGGCCAATGTATTTTTTATTCATAGTCATACGTTATGACTCTCTAGGCTGTTTCATTCTTATGCAAATACGTACAAATCGCACGTAATTGGTCAGCGATCATTCAGTGTAAATTTCTGTCCTACAGGGCTCTAATAGCTACCCGAATAGCTCGTTTTTTATGACATGGGGTGATGTCAGCTCAAATTATGAATAGCATCGGTACCCTCAAAAATTCAAATACGTCTTGCCAGCGCGTAACAACTAGCACAAAATCCAAGTTTAGGACTTCCTGCTAATTACCTCGAATCACCTAATAATAGCTTGTAATCGTCTGCTTTTTCTTAGTGCACGTTTACATTGTTCAACTCCCTACAGAAATGGTAAAATCATATAGTTGATTTTAGTTACACGAAATATTTCGTTAAATCAAACTTTTTACTTTATGTTTCCTGAGCTTCAGCTAAGCAGACTTTAGTGATATTAGTGTTACAACATGGTTTACGAGTTTATTTTAAACTTCTAATTTAGATGGATATTGCTGAAATCCTACTGTCACAATTTCCTAATCCTCAACATCCTTATGTTGCTAAAAATGGTGCCTATACATGGAAAGCCTGCCAAAAGTGGGATCTGCATTATCTGTCAGGGAGAATAAAAAGTAACTTGAAATTTCGTCTGGCTAAAAAAGAAAGTATCGAAGTACAGTGGGAGACATCTTGTCCGTCTGTTAATGCAACATTATCAGAATTTAATGAATGGATAGATGGTGTAGACAATATGAGTAATCCTTTTTCTAAGTACCCTAAAGAATCTTGGTGGGCTTATGCGGATTACATATATATGAATCAGTCACCTGATTTTCAAGGTTTAGTCGAAGATTTATCGTTCCAAGAATTGTTCCCGTTTCTAAAAAGTAATATCAGTCCAACATTTTGGCTTGGATCGTCTAAAGCTCATACCATTTGTCATCGAGATACCTACGGAGTTAATCTGGTAGTACAAATCAAAGGGTCCAAACGCTGGATATTATTTCCACCTTCGGATAGCCCACATATGTATGAAACTCGATTACCTTTAGAAGAATCTACTGTTTTTAGCAAAGTTAATTTCACATTACCTAACTGCAAAAAACATCCTCTCATATTAAAAACAACTCCCTATCCTGTAACACTTTATCCAGGAGATATTCTTTTTGTCCCAAGAAATTGGTGGCATTTTGTTGAATCATCATCTGAATATGATTTTACTTGTTCAGTAAACTTATGGATTGACCAACCTTCACTTGATAATAAAGCACGCCTTAGAGAATGTCTCACACAATTAGTCGGCTTTTCTTTGTTATCTAATTATGATCGTAGTGATCATAAAGTTTTATTACATCCATCTGAACAAGCAACATATGAAAATGAGTTTTGGTTTAAACAACTATTGGATTATCTATATATACTTTTTCATCAAAATCCAAATGAATCGTCTTCCAATGGAGAAGAGAATCTAGAAGAACCTTCAAAACAAGCTAGGTTTTCTAGTATCATCAATTGGACACCTTTAACTTCAGAAAAGCTAGACAGTTTATTTAGTATTTCAGAAGAAAATTCCACATCCGATGTTGTTAATACTCTTAACTTCGAACAGATTGTAGATGCATTCATGAAACCTGATGTTATTGAGTTAGTTGCAAAATACCTTGAAAAAGATGTTGTAAATAAAGATTTGTAAATAGAAGCATTTGCTTAGTTCCTTTCTTTTGTGCTATACCTTTCATTATCTACTGTTTGTTCATTTCTCATTTATTTTAGGTATATAGTCAGATAACTACTTCATTGTTGTGCAAATGCAAGCATGTCCATTAAATTCCAAAGATTTGTTAAAATTACGATGTCGATTTCGTACTGGACAGTATACTTTGAGTGATTTAACTGCTGATTCAACCATCAATGAACTACTTCAAACAATTACTTCACTTGTAGGTGTTACACAATCTCGTATATCACTTTATTATGGTTATCCTCCCCAAAAGTTGGATTGTAGCATTTCAAGTCTTAGTAAACATCTCTGGGAGGTTAGTCGTATAACCTTTTAAAAAAATTCATCTATACTAGAAGTGGTTTGGTACATTATATATATATATATATCACTCCTTGATTACCTATGCCTTAGGAGAATAATTACTTCTGAGGCACCTGAAAAGCAGACTGGGTTAGAGGTAGTCTTGAGGCATGATCAAAGACCGAGAGACAACTATTTGAGGTCAGCCACATATAACTTTTTATGGATAGTCTTTAATATACTCCATTTGCACTTTACAAGTCTTATCTTCATCGATAATCTGTGGTGAAAGATAATGTGTTTTATTTTTGAAATCAACCTTTTCTAACCCCTCTCTCCACTTACATGTAGTGTGTATACTTTCCTCTCGTGGCATTTGTGTCTCTTATACGTTCGTACACTAAGCTGCTATTTCGCAACTCGAACTTCGATAAAGTTAATTGGAGTTCTATCCTCTTCTCCCTTGTCCGCTAACTAAAGTAAAAAGTCTAATTTTATAGAAGCTCTCTTGATTAAGATTTTGCGTAATAAAATAGCATTATTCATTTATTTATTTAAACACATAAATAAGGAGGCACCAAATAGATATGCTCCACATAAATCATTCGATTTATGTGAGGGCTAGGGTACTGCACGGGTGCTCAAACCGAAGCAGGTGGTTTTCGTAGGAGGCCACACCCGGAGCCCTCGACCTCAAGATGTGATCCACAAGGCAATGGAGCAACATCAGGAGATGCAGTCTCATGGTAGCCGGTGACCAATAATAGGTACATACTCGATCTGTTCCTTCAGGATCCTGTAGCCCATGTATACCACTGGTTTGGAATGAGTGTTTTCTAACTCCCCTAGGTGGAGTCTACGTGTCGACCAACCCGGTTAAAGCTCCGGACATTTGCTTTTCGTCCTCTGAATTTCTTAAACAACACACGTGGTACGAGAAGGGAGTGAGTAAGACTTCGCTGGTAGTGGTTGTATTCATGTGACCATGTGAGAGCATTTAGAGAGTGAGACCTGACTCTCCCCACTCTTAGCCGTACCATGGTGTTTGGGGGCAATAAAAGGGCATTCTTATATACAAGTATCGGCATATAATAAAATCTCATAAGCAATCGGAGGATATTAGTTTGTAGGTTTTTCAGTCTCGTATCCCCAAGTAAGAATGAAAATATTCCTATCCAACAGTACCCATTTTTCAGTATCTCACTTAATGTCATTTTTTGTATAAAAAACTATTTTTTAATGAAATGTAACTATATGATGAAATTATTCAGGATAGTCTTTAGTAAGGAAAGTAAACAAGTCTCAGACCAGTGTCTTCAATATTACTTCCCTTTTTGGTCTGACTTTTATGGCTTACACTCTTGATTATCAGTCATTGTTTTGATTGTTTGGAATCGTCATTGTCCCTTCACATCCACGTATATATCACGGTAATGCATATATCTGTGCGAAATTGTCGATACACTTAATGCACTGTAATCTAGTCTATTAATAAAAATCGTCTTATTTTTAAAAATGATATATGAATCTGTAGATCCCTCTTCGTTCGGGTGACATGCTTACTGTTGATGTAACGGAAGAAAAACCAACAAATGTCAACTCACAAACTGTAAATCATCAACCTCATGAACATGAAATAATCACTAATGAAAAATCTGAATCACATATTGTCCGATTATCTGCACCATCTGATAATTCTTGTCTATTTACAAGTGTTCTTTTCTGTATGAATAATGAAGACAATCATTTAAAAATTGGTACAGAAGTTGTAACAAATATTGCTGAAGTCAGTAATTTAAGAGAATTAATTTCCGGTATTGTGTTAAGCGATCCAGTCAAGTATTCTGAAGCATTCCTCGGGATGTCAAATGAACAGTATTCACTTCAAATTAGACAAGTAAGCAAATGATGATGTTTGTTTTGTGAGTGCTTCGCTTATTCCCTTTTTTGTCTTTTATACGAGTTGTGGAGCGGCGACACGCTGAATAAATCACTTAGTTTTGAACTAGTATGCTACATGCCCTAGTCATATCCCGCCTAACGTAGTATGGGAAGAGCTAGGTAGTATCGCTAGCTCACTCACCTCGTGCGATGTTGGCTGGTATAAGAGTACTGTAGAAGAAAGCTAGGGTGACCAAACCTAAACGTAGCATGAGCCTACAAAGTCATTGATAATCGGAATGAACCATGTAGGTAGGTTCAAACTGCGTAGTTGAGCCCGCACCATTATCGTAACGAATGATTAAGGACTTTGAGTAATGTAGCTATAATTTTATCTAGCTGTGTGAATGCAATGTAGCAACTTGAACCGATGTGCCCAATTTTATTTTGGATATGAATAACTGACAAACCGCTGACACAGTTAAAGTTTGACTCAAAGGTGTTTTACATACGCTTGTCCTTGTTAAATGAATTAAATTACATTTAATAATTGTATTAACTAATAATCATTGCGATAAAAGAAAAGGTGCATCGTAATTTGTATATATTTGTAACAAGAGGGGGAGTTTTCTTTGAACCTGAGTTTTATACTATGCAGTCATATACAAGTTGAATGAATGACTCTGAATTATCTGATTATCGTCACCGTCAATATTACTTTGAAATGTAATTTTAAAATGCTTCTGGGTACTTGTATTCGCATTCAATTTTAATACATAAGGAAGTTAGTCGTGGTTTTATTATCGTGGAGAAGATAAATCCACATATAAGAAAGTTCATAATACGTTTACTAAAAAATGGGACACCTTTGATACTGTTTAGAAGTTGTTTGGTCTTAGAAGTTAGGGACATACATTAGATTGATAAGAGGAATTCTACCGTATTTTTGTGAAATCTAGTCTCTCCAAGTTTCAAACGTTCATTCATCATTAACTTCTAGAAGGTTTCTGAGGTATGACGAAAACACTTCGTAGTCAGTTACTATGGTCTTTCAAGATGTATTCTTAGGCATAGTGGGAATGGACGTAAAAAGCAATATCAACGTGTTGATCACTTCATTTATATAATATATATATTAAAAAATAGTTACCCTATTTCTTCTTGTGAACTATACCTTAATTGATCATGTGATAGTCGTTTCTATATTTTGTAAGTACCATCACATGACATCGTTCCACTTATGCCTTATGTTAGCTACACATTATACTACTAGCATCTTTACCCTCCTTTCTTAAGATCACTATTCACCTGAAAATCTTATATTCCTTATACAGTAGCTCAATCGATTTTTGTTTATTAATGAGTTTAGTAACAATTTATGGTGATATTTCTATTTGTTGTTATATTTTAAGTAACCTTAAGTTAGTTTGTGATTTTGTTAATCCATACATAAATAACTGGCTCTCTGTTTTTTGCACTGTGTACCTTAATAAATTAATATGTTATTGGTACAGGGGGGCACCAGATACATATACGAGAAGGCAGTGAGTAGGACTTCCTTAGCAGAGGTTATATACGCGTGGCCATATGAGAGCATTTGGAGAGGGAGAGTTGACTCTCTCCACTTCCAGCCGTACCAGGGCAATTCGGGGCATTATTATAGTTTAACTGTTAGCTTATTTGCATCTGTTCAACCATTTTTCGACTCTATCTAATAGCAGTAGGATGTAGATATTTTCTGACTGACTAAACAAAATAATCACAACGTACTGAATAATTTCTACTATGAATTGTTGAGTGTTTGATCTGTGTGTTTTTAATTCAAAATACTAATGATTCTTAAATTTTCTATGGTGTGATACATTGAAGATGATAGGATACTTCATGTGTATACCTAACTAAGGAGATAAAAACCCAGCCAGTTGATTGGCCAATTGCCGATGTTGACGCTTGCAAATCTGTTCAGTAGTAGTTGTTTGGGGACAAAGTCAAAGATAAAGGTATAGTCTAGAAATTCGCATCGAACATACTTCTTACCCTTCCCCAAGCTGAACACTATCATAATGCAGAATAATAACAGAATATAAGGTACCTCTTTTGTGTTAGTAAGCAAACCAATGTAGATCCATATGTTCTTTTAGTGCAGATTGAATTGGGAGTAGCAATAGTTTTTCCATTGTTTTGAGAAAAGGTGAAAAGGTTATTGCTATGAATCTAAATTGTACATCCTTATCAGCAGATACTTTCTTAGGTATTGGGATTATCTTAATCCTTCTCTACATTTTTGGTATAAGATTAGTTGAGAAAGATTCGTTAAAGATGCTCGCTAATGGAGGACAAAACGTCAGTACATTTCTTAAAACGGAGGTTTTGGATTTCTTCAGGTCCCGAACAATTGGACGAGTTAAGTGACTAAGGATCTTTTTGGACATCAGTTTCAGTGAAAATTGGAAGATTCAGTCATTCTATAACGTAGAACTTCGTACGTACGTGCATCAGTGCGAGTTGCCATACCATATTAGCACAGATACAATTGTCGACTCAAATCCCATAGTGGTAGAGGTAGTAAAAGTATAAGCAGTAATCGGAAAGATTAGGGTTTTAAGATGTTATTCAAGGAGTATAATCCAGTGAAATAAATTTGGAAAGAGAAAAAAGAGACAAGGAGGATTCAAGAGATTAGAATTTGGGAGAGCACAAACAGTGGATGTATATGCGCCATTGCAAACGATTTTGAGCTATGTCATTCAAGGTCTCCAACCATCGGTTCCTATCATTTCACAGGTCCCAACCAGGTAGTCTACACCTACCAACATGACTCATTCCACTTGTCAGTGACTTCATGAATTTGTGCCATGTTTTGGTTTGGCCACCACTGTCTTTCTTCCAACCTACTTCTACATAATAAAACATCGCACGTTGGGGCAGTCGGTGGTTGGGCATACGTAATAGATGTTCCAGCCATCTCAACTAATGAAGTTTCACTACTTCCTCAATCGATTCGCCATCCTTACCTAGTACCCATTTCCTAACAACTGCATTACTTACTCGGTAGTCCCAGGATATACGATCAATGCTTCGAAGACACTTGTGATCTAATACTAATAACCTACGAATATCCTTTACTCTTACCGGCCATGTTTCACAGCCATAAAGTAGGACGGAACGAACCGCTTCATAGTAAACGCATCTTTTGGTTTGTAGGCGGATATCTCGCCTATGCCTACGCCAACTACACACCTATTCTTCAAACCTGTGTATATAGGAAGCATGATATCACATGGTTGATATACGAAAGACTTATTTAAGTCATAAGCATTCATTAACTAAGCAATGCTAACTTTATTTATCTAACAATTAATGGTGATTATAAATAATTTATTTATGCGTTACATAATTCTAATCACTGCCTGTCTAAATGTACTCTAAAGGCTTTGTTTACGAATAAGTTCGAAGAACTGCTAGGGTTAGTTAAACGATATATATATACTTTACTTTACTTGCGCATGTTGCTCCTCGTGAAGGAACATAGGCCGGTCACCAGTATTCGTCATCCAACCCTGTCGTGGTAATCGATTTTCAGGCATACGTAATCACCACAGAGTCTCAGAATTGTAAACATGTATTACATTTTCATCTTTAAATAATACAATTCATTCATTTAACAGTGATCGCAGTACAATTCTCTCCTCTCTCTCATTATTTCTCTTGTCATTTCAGTCAGATAAATGGGGTGGAGGTATTGAAGTATCAATTTTATCACAATTATATAAAATTGAAATATGCATTGTAGATATTGAATCATGTCGAATTGATCGTTTTGGTGAAGATCAAAATTATCCTAAAAGAATTTTATTAATTTATGATGGTATACATTATGATCCATTAGCACAAGAATGTCCAAATCGTAATTGTTTAATAACTGTATTTTCATCAGATAATGATTCAGTATGTGTGTGTGTTACATTTGATTCTAATCAATATATTTATATTCATATTATTATTTTAACACAGATATTGGTACAAGAAGGCACCAAATCGATATGCGCCAAACAAATCGAGTGATTTGTGTGAGGGATAGGATACTGCCCGGGTTCACAAACAGAAGCAGGTGGTTTTCTTAGGAGGCCACACCTCGGGCCTTTGACCTAAAGGTCTAACCCACAATACAGTGGAGTAACGTAAGGAGATGTAGTCCCATGGTAGCTGGTGATCAATAATTGGTTTATACGTCATTTGTTCCCTTGGGGTCCTGGAGCCTACTTGCACGATTGGTTTGGTTTGAGATCCGGTTGAAGCTCCGGACATTCCCATTTTCGTAAACAACAGTAATGCCACGAGAAGGCAGTGAGTAGGACTTCCCTGGCAGAGGCCATATACGCGTGGCCGTGTGAGAGCATTTCGAAAGGGAGAGCGGACTCTTCCCACTCTCGGCTATACTAGGGCATTTGGGGGCATATGTGTATTCTCTTTTTTGTATAAACATCTTCCTGTAATTATATAAACTCTTTCATCAGTCCTTTAGTTTAATTATAGAAAGTGAATTAGTCAAATATGTTAATTGATCATTCTCACCTTTCCTTTTAGAAACCTTTTTGAGCTGACATACTCTCAGTGTCAATATAAAACATCCATTTAGATTATGTTAGCTTTTATTGTTTATGACATAGTAGACATAATCGTTTGCTTGTTAGAAATCAAGTATATTACACAGCAATTTATCCTGTACTATTTTATGAGATTGAAGCATGACTTCTAAAGACAGTAGATATATGAGCTCGTAAATTGCTAATATTCTGTCACAATAGTCTCTAGGGTATTACTTCTGTATAGTAGAACTAGTAGATGATTAATGTTGAAGTTTACTTATTACTTATTTATTTAAACACATGAACATAGGTACAAGAAGGCACCAAATAGATATGCGCCAACCAAATCGAGTGATTTGTGTTAGGGATAGGGTACTGCCCGGGTTCACAAACAGAAGCAGGTGGTTTTCTTAGGAGGCCACACCCCGGGCCTTTGACCTAAAGGTCTAACCCACAATACAGTGGAGTAACGTAAGGAGATGTAGTCCCATGGTAGCTGGTGATCAATAATTGGTTTATACGTCATTTGTTCCCTTGGGGTCCTGGAGCCTACTTGCACGATTGGTTTGGAATGAGGGTTTTCCAACTCTCCTATGTGGAGTCTACGTGTTCACCAACCCGGTTTAAGCTCCGGACATTCACTTTTCGTCCTCTCAATTTCGTAAACAACACGGGTGGTGCGAGTGGGCAGTGAATAGGACTTCCGTGGTAGTGGTTGTATTCACGTGGCCATGTGAGAGCATTTGGAGAGGGAGAGTTGACTCTCTCCACTCTCAACCGTACCAGGGCATTTGGGGGCTATGTTGAAGTTACGTAGGAATGATTAATTCATTTATAAGTTCATAAAATGTTATCTTCTCAGATAGTTCAAATAAATCTTACACGTTTTCATCCACTAACCTACCTTATCAATGAAATTTAATTCATAATTATGTAACTCATTATCGAGTACAGGTATTTGTAGTTGGCTTCGATTCATAATGTTTGGGAATGTTGATTGGTTACACCTGTCACTGTTACCCAAAGTGAAATAAAGATGGTAGTACAAGGGTTCAACTTAGTGATTAAATATTAGAAATATTCCCTACTACTAAACCATAACTTAACAACATATCGATCTAGTCACAATGTTGACCACTAGTCACATGTGACCCAATATGGCGTTAAACTTTGTTAATGAACGAGAAGATAATCGATAAGTGATATAACAGAACATGAATTACGCTTGATAATTATCTATTAATTCCATCGGATAGTGAATAAACTATTTATTCTCCTACCGTCCACTTGTCAAATATCTTACGCTTATGTCAGTAGTCCAATCGTATGAGCAGCTATCACTCACCCATAAATCGTATCACTGTATATAATCTCTCAATTCACATTCTATTCATTGATTTTAACTATCAAAAATTGTTTGATCAAATCAAGAAATTCTACTCTATAACAATGGGAAAAAACTCCTATTTGGCACTAGTTGACGACACTCTTTGCCACAAGATGTATCCATTTTTTCAATGTTTCTTTTCCATTCTACTAAAAATCAATAATCAACAAACATTCCTTTTAATAAAGATGGATAGTGGCTAGCAGTGGAGTCCAGGATGCGCGTTTCGTCCTATTTGGGACTTGTCAGCTGGATGTATCTGCATCTCAGAGAGTTGATATTCACTCTGGGACTCGAACCCAGTGCCATTCACTTCATACACCATTGCACTATCCACTTAGTTACTGAGTCCTGATAGCCACCTGCTTGTGCAATGGGGTGAAGTTTTAAATTCACTTGGTGTTGTTTTACTTGTGTTTTCCCAAAGCTTGTGATTTAAGGCTATATCAAAGCAATCCGCACAAGATGCACATATGTCAACATGAAACTGATCAATTGCTGTCCTAAATAAAAACAATGGCAAGATACAAGTAAAACAACATTAAGTGAATTTCTTTTAATATAATACAAAATTTTCATTATTCCTCCCCCCCCCTCTCTCCATTGTTATTTTTATACATAGATTCTTTTTGAAGCTCAACAATTAGCATCAAAAGCTCGTGCTGAATGGGCATTCACTGATCTTTCATCATTTACATTACTTTGTCGACAATGTGATGCACCATTAATTGGTCAAGAAGCTGCACAAAAACATGCACAATTAACAGGTCATACACAATTTAGAGAAATTTTACATTAAGAATATCAATTTAATTGAAGTATATTCAATATAATTGTTACATATCTAGACTGTTGTTTTGTTCTTCTCCCCTTTTCTGGTAGCATTACAAATTGAATGTAAAATGAATGATTTGTTTTGCTCAATGTATTCGCTTTAGTTTTCTCTCTGATTTTTTTGTTGGTATTATCATTAATAAGTGTTGCTAATGTTTGTTTTCTTTTTTTTTCTTTTTCTTTTCTTTTCTGTTTTTTTTTATTTTGTGCAAAAAAAATTTTTTCCATTGTACAAATTGTAGAAACTTATTACATTGTAGAAATGGTATGATTTCAATTGTCTATCCATTCAGTGTTTCTATCTATCTTTGTTAATTAATCTACTTGTAACTCTGACAATACAATCATGGATGTGAATGTGTCACATACACACGCATGGATACATGTGTTTTTTTCTCTTTAGAATTATTGGTTACATTGTGTACATCTGAATAATATTTGGTTGAGGATAGACATTAACACTATTAGATGCCGACTCAGTGGTTTATAGAGGTTAAGCGTTTGAGACTGATGGTCCTGTGTTCGAATCCCACGATCGGGATTGTGGTTGTGCACTACTGAGGAGTCTCACAATAGGACGAAATGGGTATCTAGTGCCTTCAAGTTTTCAATGGTGGTCTGACATCAATCGGTTCATGATGTCAATCAGAATAATATTTGTCTTGTTTTATTAATCCGGTTATCGCTTTTTCTTTGAATGGAATAAAATGCGATTTTTTTTTAATGAAAAAAAAATACTTTAAATTATTTACGTTTCATTGCTACTGACTTGATTATCAGAATACATAGTAAAGTATGTCGAAATCAGTTACAATGGTGCCAGTTTATTCTATATTTATCTTTCTCATGAACTTGAAACGAATGGCTGACTAATCTCATCTTTTTTCTGGATAGTTGAATATATCTACATTGTAGCAAGTGTTCTTTAATAACTACCAGAGATGATACTGACAATATCTAACTTGTTGATCTAAAGTTCACCTCAAAGACTAAAAATCTAGGGTTCGACTTCTTGTGTGGTCGTGGATGCACACCTCAGAAGAGTCACATATTAGGATAAAACAACCTTTCAGTGTTTCTTGATGTCTGAGATTCTATACAAATAGCTCATGTACAGAGGTTAATCATTCTGATCTGAAATATCTAGTTGATCACAATTAGGTAATCCTTCACTGCTTGTGTTGTTTCTGTGATTCTTTTAAGAAAAAGGGTTGTAGTATCGAAAAGTTGACTCACTCATAATAAACACCTGTACAAAGAACGAGGCTGATCTTGAACAGTGAATCCCATACCAGAAAAGTTAGGTATTTTGTCTTCGTAAAGTGAAAAAGCTGAGAAACAAATAGAATTTTGTTTTTAAAAAGTGTTGATGAGTTTTGAAACTTAGAAATGATTCCACCTATATTATGGTACTTGTTACCTACTGTTAACATTAAGTGCCTTGGATTTCACTTCATTTCGGACATACGATGCATCGGTTCTCGTCATTTTGTAAATCAAGCCAACCTTATTTATTTATTTGAACACATAAATAAGGAGGCACCAAATAGATATGCGCCACATAAATCACTCGATTTATGTGAGGGCCGGGATACTGCACGGGTGCTCAAACCGAAGCAGGTGGTTTTCTTAAGAGGCTGCACCCGGAGCCCTCGACCTCAAGGTGTGATCCACAAGGCAATGGAGCAACATCAGGAGATGCAGTCTCATGGTAGCCGGTGACCAATAATAGGTACATACGCCATTTGTTCCTTCAGGATCCTGGAGCTCATGTACACCACTGGCTTGGAATGAATGTTTTCCAACTCCCCTAGGTGGAGTCTACGTGTCCGCCAACCCGGTTCGAGCTCCGAACATTTGCCTTTCGTCCTCTGAATTTCGTAAACAACACACGTGGTACGAGAAGGGAGTGAGTAAGACTTCGCTGGTAGTGGTTGTATTCATGTGACCATGTGAGAGCATTTAGAGAGTGAGAGCTGACTCTCAGTCATATCAAGGTATTTGGAGGCAAGTATCTATTTGATGCTGTCACGATGCCTATCATCTAGTTTTGAAGACAAAATCAACTAATTTTAAATACTCCACAAGTAGAAAACTAATTAAGAGTAAGACTCATTTTCATCATATCTTAATTGGATTCAAAAAGATATTCTAATAGTAACTTTCAGTTGAATTATTATGACCTACATTAATAAAATTGGTTTAAAAACCTCTACTGGAAATCCAATAACTCATAGTGATTCCAGTGATCTTATTAATCAAGGTATTTAGTTTGGTTCAATCAATTATAAAATGTCACTAACTGTCTTAGGATATTGGTGATTACATAATCCAGAATGATAGAGGGATATTTACACTGACAATACATCCACTTGATAATTAAAAATATAAATAAACCTTATGCATTACTGAGGGTTTCACGATCCACCAATTCAAGCCTGAACTCTAAGTGCAAAATCAATATGACCAACCTCTCATCCATCTTTGGGTTTTAATTCTGTTTTACAGAACTTTTTGGTCTTGTTTTTTTTGGTTAAGCCCTGGTGGGGGGGGGGGGGCGGGACCGTGGATACACACTGTTGAGGAGTCCCATATTAGGACGAAACGGCCGTCCAGTGCTCCCAGCTTTTCCACGGTGATCTAGCTTCAATTGACTCATAATGTCAGCTATTGAAATTACTAAAATCTCCACAAAGCCCCTTCTGACATGCATTATAGGTTACTTCAGGACACAAACCTGAATTACGGTAATGCGATAATAGACTTCAAAATAATTCTTAATTTAAGTTTTGTCTACTTAAATTATTTATTAGTAGCTTACGTGAAAAATTCGTTTTTATAGAGGTTTCACTAAGTCTTACACTTCCACGATCATACTTATAAAACTGATGAATAATTGTCAATCTGTGTTTCCTAATAGTAGTTGGACAAGTTTTTCTACACATGAGAAAAATTAGATTCAACAAAATTAATTTGAGATGTGTTATTTTTCGTTTTTAATAAAAGTACTTTTACACAAACTCCGCTTGTAGCTCTCTTAGAGTTATTACCGGTCACAAGCCCGGATAAGGGAGGACGGTTGGACATGAGGTCAGCAACCCGATCCCGTAGAACAAATTTTTGCTAAAAAGACGTCAGCTATTACTTTTATACACCTATATATGTCCCATTGAACTCATGAACCGACCTAAGTTAGATGAAAATCCAAAACCTGGAAACATTGGATTTCCGTTTGCTTCTAGCGTGGGGATCCACAGCAATGCATATTCAGGCTTTCAATGATGGTCTAAGTTAAATTGGTTCATTATTTCAATGAAATTATATATTCTCCACAATTACATATATAGAGTTATGTATATCGGTTAATTATAATGTTTTCTCTTCAACTCCATCGTATTCTATATTGATTAATTCTGATTTCGATTAGTAAACGAGAAATATTTATAGAGATCCGATTGTTTCAATTATAAATTGTTGGGGATATTCAGAAAACTCCTCGAAAAAAGCCATAAAAGTCTCTGAAGACACTGAGAAGCATCTTATTCAGTCGGTATTCAATAGAAGCTTTGCAAGATACATCTAGAAAGTGAAATGTTACATGTTGCTTTTCTGATTGGATGATTACTTGTACCGCTACTATGTTTAATAGAGTTCCAGAAATTTTGGAGAATTCAAGAACATTTAAAATACTATAAAAACCCTATATTTTCTGTATGTAAACGAACCTTTGGAGTAAAGTGTTTCTTACATATTTTCCACCTTTCCTCTGGTGTTCAAGTCGTTGTGTAGATCTACTCTGGGGGTTAATAGAAGAGCTTAGAAACTAAATCTAGCATTCAGTTAGCAACATTTATCACAAATATACATATTAAATGATGTATTACCGTCAGTATTTTCTGGCTGGAAATCTACACCTTTGAAATAAAATTGCAGTGTAGTTGTTATAATAAGTTTTACAAATACAATCCATAGGTTATCTCATTTATCAATTGGCTCTAGATGTACTACTCGATGTTCCGAATTGGACTGATGGATATTTATTGTTAACTCCGCCTGTAGCTCTTCTAGAGTTACTGCCGGTCCCAAGCCCGGGTAAAGGAGGAGGGTTATGCATGTGGTTAGCGATCTCATCCCGTAGAAAACTAACTCGCTAAAAAAACGCTTACCAGAAAAAATAATTCAAACCATTTTAACTCTGCCCTGGGAGTTAGAAGGTCTTCCTTTAGAAGAATTATGACGCTTCATGGTGAAAGCAGAGTTCCTTCGGAAGCCACGAGGCCGATGCCCCTTCTAACAACTAGAGCAACAATTTTTATAGGTACATGGAACGTTCGAACAATGTGGGAAACCGGGAAGACCAGTCAAATAGCAATGGAAATGAGGAAATACAACTTAGCAGTACTGGGAATCAGCGAAACCCACTGGACCCAAGCTGGACAGAAAAGGCTAGCTACGGGAGAGATGCTGCTATACTCCGGTCACGAAGAGGACAATGCTCCACACACTCAGGGAGTCGCTCTTATGCTGTCCAAAGTAGCACGAAATGCACTTGTAGGATGGGAATCTCACGGATCCAGAATCATCAAAGCATCATTCAAAACAAAGAAGGAGGGGGTCTTAATGAATATTATCCAGTGTTATGCACCCACCAATGATAGCAACGACGAAATTAAAGATCAATTCTACGAGCGGCTGCAGTCAATCATTGAGAAATGCCCAATAAAGGACCTCACCATCCTAATGGGAGATCTAAATGCCAAAGTCGGAATAGACACCACCGGATATGAAGATATCATTGGACGACATGGACTGGGAGAAAGAAACGAAAATGGAGAAAAATTTGCAAATCTATGTGCATTCAACAAATTGGTCATAGGAGGCACAATATTTCCACACAAGCATATACACAAGGCTACATGGATCTCACCGGACCACACTACGGAGAACCAGATAGATCATATTTGCATCAACAAAAAATTCCGGAGGACAATGGAAGATGTGAGAACCAGGAGGGGTGCTGACGTAGCTTCAGATCACCACCTAGTTGTAGCCAATTTAAAACTGAAGCTAAAAAAGAACTGGACAAGTGGACAAACAGCACTACAAAGGTTCAATACAGCCTTCCTTCGAGATACTGACAAACTCAATGAATTCAAGTTAGCTCTGAACAACAGGTTCCAAGCCTTACAAGATCTACTGAAAGGAGGAGAAACTACTATGGAGGACAACTGGAAAGGCATCAAGGAAGCATTAACTTCAACATGTCAAGAGGTTCTGGGTCTAAAGAAATACCATCATAAGGAATGGATCTCTATAGAAACACTGGACAGGATCAAAGAAAGGAAGAACAAGAAGACAGCAATTAACAACAGCCGAACACGAGCAGAGAAAGTCCAAACACAAGAAGAAATACTTGGAAGAACTAGCAACGACGGCGAAAAAAGCTGCAAAGGAAAGGAAATATTAACCAGCTTTACGATACAAGGAAGAAACTAGCAGGGAGATATAGTGAACCAGAAAAACCGGTCAAGGACAAAGAAAGCAAGCCAATCACTGAAATTCAACAACAGCGGAGCAGATGGGTAGAATACTTCGAGGAACTCCTGAATAGGCCGGCTCCAATGAATCCACTGGACATCGAAGCAGCACACACAGATCTTCCTATAGAGGTCAATCCACCAACGAAGGAAGAAATCAGAATGGCCGTCAGGCAAATCAAGAACGGGAATGCAGCAGGATCTGAAAATATACCAGCTGAAGCACTGAAGTCAGACATCGAAGTAACTACAAACATGCTTCACCTTCTGTTCAGAAAGATTTGGGAGGAGGAACAAGTGCCGACGGACTGAAAAGAGGGACACCTCATCAAGATTCCAAAGAAACGAGATCTGAGCAAATGTGAAAACGACAGACGTATTACACTACTGTCAGTACCAGGAGAAGGTCTTCAAGAGAGTGTTGCTAAACCGGATGAAAGACGCGGTAGACGTCCAACTTCGAGATCAACAGGCTGCATTCCGTAAGAATCGGTCGTGACACAACGGAACATCGTCGAACAATCAATTGAGTGGAACTCGTCATTATACATCAACTTCCTTGATTATAAGGTGTTTAACAGTGTAGACAGGAGAACATTAAGGATATTTACTCGACACTATGAAATAGCTGAAAAAATCGTCGACATCATCCTGAATTCATACGACGGACTACAGTGCAAAGTGGTGCATGAAGGACAACTGACAGATGCACTCCAAGTAAGAACTGGTGTCAGACAAGTCTGCTTACTCTAACCCTTTGTCTTTCTTCTAGTGGTTGACGGGTTTGTGAAAACCTCCACATCTGAGAGGAAGCTCGAAACACAATGGATAATTTGGATTCAGCTTGATGATCTGAACTTCGTAGATGATCTTGCTCTTTTATCCGGTACACAGAAGCAAGTGTAGGTCAAGAAAAACAGTGTATCAGCACTCTCTGCATTAGAAGGCCTCAACATACATGAGGGAAAAAACAAAACTCTCAAATACAACAAGGAGAACATCAACACAATCACACTTGATGGCAAAACTCTGGATAATGTGGAAACATTCACGTACCTGAAGAGCATCATCAATGAACAAGCAGGTTTGAATGAATTCATAAAGGGAAGGATTGGAAAAACAAGCACAGCATTCCTACAGTATAAGAACATATAGAAGTCAAAACAGCTGTCTATCAGCCAACATCAAAGTCAAGATACTCAATACGAATAACAAGACAGTTCATTTTACTGTACGGAACTGAAACTTACTGAACTGCTACAACCATCATGAAAAATGTACAAGTATTTCTAAACATTTATCAACTCAAGATACTCAATATCCCTTGACAGGATGCCATCAGCACCAGCCTACTGTGAGAAATAACGAACCATCATCCAACTGAGGAAGAAATTAGGAAAAGATGTTGGAAACGAATAAGACATACATTAATAAAATCATCCAACTGCATCACTAAGCAATCGCTAACTTGGAACCCTGAAGAGAAATGGAAAAGTAGAAGGTCAAAGAACATACTGCTCTGATGATTGAAGGCAAACATCAGAAAGATGAATAGTACCTGGAAACGATTGTCCAGGACAGAGTGGAATGTAGAATGTTGATGAATGGCCTATACTCTCCCTTATGAGAGGTAACCGGTATAAGTAAGTATTGGATTGGATTGGATTGAATAAATGAATGAAAAAAATAATAATAACAGACAGAAATGAAATCCTACGGGCGGGATCGTGGATGCGTACTACTGAGGAGTCCCACAATTGGACGAAACGGCCGTCCAGTGCTTTCAGGTTTCCAAAGGTGGTGATCTAACATCAATCATTTCATGATCTCAGTCAAAAACGTAATAATCTCCACAACCTCCATACTAGAAATGAAATGTTGACAAAACAACCACCACAAACAAAAAAATATCAATCTCTTCATTATTAACCAATCATAATCAAGTATTTAACTTAATTCTGATTGGTTAAGACAAGGCCAAGATTTTCCTCTCTTTATTTATAATTTAACTTTGTTCAAGGTTATAAACAACAACAACAACAACACAAAAAAAAGGCGTGAACTTTAAAAAATTTTATTCATTTATTATAATTTCAATCTTTTCATTATCACATTTATCATCATCAACACATGAGTTATCTATAATATTTTATTATTAAAAAGGAATATGTTCGAGATAGATACAGATAGATGCACATAGATACTACTGAATTGAATCGATTTTGTACCATTCTCTTCCTTTTTTTTCTGTTCTTTTGATTATTGGATAATAGATGAGAATATTTGCACATAGAAACACATAAACTGATTATTATTATTATTACTTGAATGAATCATGTGGATTATGAATACATTTTGTCAATCTCTTGTCTATATTACTATTTATCATGATTTATTCATTATACTATTGTATACAATGTTATTTAATTGTATTCATGCTACCATAGATCATTCACATATATTAAATGATAAATCTTATTCGGATATAAATTGGGAAAATGATTATAAAAGATCGCATTTATGGTCACCTAAAACACCATTAAATGTATGGCCTGATTTTAAATTAATACAACAATGTGATACATTGAATTTTGAAACATTAAAATTTCATTTTAATCAATCTATGAATGATAAAGATTTATTTGAATGGACTAGTATTAGTTTATTTAATTCGAATCGATTAAAACGTGGTTATATACTACTTGGTGGATCTTATAAACATCAATCATTCAATAATAAGGCTAATGTATCCCCTAGATATAATAGTCAAATGATTTTATGTTATTTAAATTGGAAATCCGATTATGAAACATTATTAGGTTTTGGTTTTAATACAAATTCATGTATACCATTATTACAATCGAATTCAATGGATAATAATAATAATCATGAATATCTTGGTGCAACAAGTCAATCCTTAAAAATTACACAAGATTTAAGTGTATTTGTATATTGTGATCCATTATGGCGAGCTAATTCTTTAGTACCAATTGGTAGATGTTTTTTACATCTTATCAATAATGGAGTTATTCAATCGACTATAGAATTAGCTGAATTTTGTCAAACTAATTTAAAAGTATTTACACCATGTGCTGCTGGTCATAGTATTGCATTAACATATCACAATAACAATCATAATGATAATCATGATAATGATCAAACATTGAAATCAATCAATGATCTATTATCGAATATTCAATTATGGATTGGTCAACCATTATCTACACCATATGGACGTATACAAATATTAACTAATTTATATAATACAATGAAAGTAACAACAATTAATAGGCCAGAATCAAATGAATATAGAACAATTGGTTCATTATTTGGTTATGCATTAACTGATGGTTTTGTCACAGCACCAGGATTATTTACATATGATCAATATCATAGCAATAATACTAATACAAATATTAATCATTTATTTGGTATACATTATACTAAATCCTATAGAGATAATATCAATGGATTTTATGATCATATTGATTGGTATCCAGAGCTCAATCATACTAATCCATTCAATGGTAATGGTATCTCTGTACTACGTGTTCATATAAAAGGATCATATCTTAAAAGTGTTATAATTGGTGCACCATATACTAGAAATACGAATATCAATACTAATCATAATAATCATACTAAAATAGATTCTATTCAATCAACCAATTATAATATTGGACGAATTTATTTATTATGTCAATTAGATTCTTATGAAACATCAACTACAATAATGGATTATTTAGATGGTCCAATAGATTCAAGACATTTCGGTTTTTCATTAACAAATCTTGGTGATTATGATGGAGATGGTAATGATGATATTGGAGTTGGTGCACCATATTTAGAAAGAAATACTACTTATTTTAGTTATATTTATTTTATACGTTTATTATCGAATTGTAAATTTGATAGAATACCATTACAGATATTAAAAAGTCCAGCTAATGCTTATGATTATGGTGCTTATTTACCATCGTATACTGAAGATTTAGATTTTAATGGTATGAATGATTTAGTGGTACCAATCTCTTCTTCTTCTATAAAACAAAATATCTTAACAGATCAATCAATTTTAGTTTATGCAACACGTGATCAATGGATTGCTGATTGTCATTATTTATTTCCACCATGGTTAACTATAAGAAATTTATACAAAAATGATATAATACCAATACAAATTATCATTTATTTTAATCATTTTAAATATCGATTATTGAAATCTAATCAAATCAATAAAAAATTAATCAATTCATTACAATTAAATCAATTAATTCATCAAATTAATCCTGATTGGAATGTTACCAATATCAATGAACAACGTTTTCATTTAATTAATTCTATTCAATCTCATATTGATTTAAAACAAAATCAATTAATTATTGATTTTAATCTACAAGCTAATATAAATATTGAAGAGATTAATGATTTAGAATTAATCAATGGAGGTATTTATATTGGTTATCGATTTTTACAACCATGTTATTTTAATCATGATGTAATCAATCAAAATGGTACTTGTTTAAATGGAAGTTGGTTAAAACGTCCATATATTGATTGGTCAAAATGTATTAATAAATTACCATTAACACGTTATATTTGTTATCCATATCCAATATGTGAAAGTGATATAATGTTATATGTAAAAGATATAAAATCCAATAAATTGATTAGTTTTCCATATAAAAATAAATCAATATCTGAAATCAATCAAAATAATACAATCAATGAATCGATAACAATGAATATTGATATAGAATATGGGAATAAAAATAGTTCTAGACAACAAATACAAATAGAAGTATATAATTTAGGGCCAACTCAATCAAAAGGTACAAGAATGGAATTACAATTTTATGGAAATTTAAAATTTTCCCATCTTGAATTAGAAATTGATACTGTAACTATAGATAATAATATGACTAAACGTTATACAGAAACAATCATGGTCGATGTATCAGAAAATGAAACATGGGTGAATTGTCCTATTGGTACATTATTACCATTATTATTATCATCATCCATGAATGAAACTAATGAAATAATACAACCGAATCAACGTTTTCTATTATCTACATATTATGATCAATTTATGTTAGATCAAGTAGATTTTCAATTAGGTGCTGGAATTACAATTCAGATTATTACTGGTACATTAGATCCTCAACCATTGAATAATATTGTCCGTATTAATTATCATGTTATACATCGACCAAATATACGTATATCATATGGTCCTGGTAATATACCAAGTAAAATGGATAATCGTACAATCCCTTTAAATGTATTATTGAATCAACAAAAACAACGTATTATTGTATCAGAAATTGGTCCAAAAGTTGAACATATTATACAAATTGAATATATGGGACCATCAAATCAATTGAATAATGTGACTATGAATCTATTAGTACCTATTGAATTAGATACAATGAATAAAAATGATAATAAACCACAATATATATTATATATGTTTAATGAAATACGTTCATCATTATATAATAATAATAATAATAATATCCTTGAATGGATGGATTCACGACCTAAAATCTACTCTATGAGTAAACATAATGATAATAATAATGATACAAATGATAATGGTAGTAATGAAGATGATATAAGTAAAGTTGGAAGTTGTATGATAGTCAATAGTGAAAAAGTAGTTAATCCACGTGAATTCATTCCAATGGATGTGAATACAAGTAAGTAATTGGGTTTATCCATCTATTCATCTATTTATATGTATTTTGAATTGTCATATTTTGTCTTAACAAGTGGTATGAACTTGTTGTATGTTGTTAAATATATGGAACATTGTTTCTTCTAGTGAATGATACTGTTACTTACTTACTTACTTACTAACTTATACCTGTAACACTTTGTGTAGGAGCCCACCAGTATTCTCCGTCGAATTTTCTCCTCAATTCAATTTGATTTAGATAACCAATTCATAACAAAAATGGCCATCATTTTATTATTCTGATTCAAAGTGAAGTAAATCAATGTATATTTGATAAATGGGTTGCATCTTGAATATAAGTTGTTTGAGTGCTAAACTATTATGAACCATTGATAAATATACAAAATGATTAACAGGGACTTTTTGTTTTTATACTTCATTTTTACAACTAAGTTATTCACTCACTCACTCACTCACTCACTCACTCACTCACTCACTCACTCGCTTACTTACTTACTTACTTACTTACTTACTTACTTTGTCCTGGGTAATCCTTTCCAATTTTTTCCTTGTCGCTGCTCATTCTTTCCATGTTTGTTTTCAATTTCAAACTCAATGTGTTCCTTGGTCTTTCGCCTTTTTCTTTTCTTTTCAGGATTCTAACGTAATAATTTTCTCCTTAGATGAAAAGATGGGTTTTTTCCTAACATAAGAGGTTTTCAATGATAGTATACGGCCAATAAACATTGAGACACATACTATTATTTAATAATAACTATATATACAATTGAATTTTTCTCCTCAACTAGTCACAACACAAATTATTCACTTTACAAAGCCTCATACATAAAGTTGTTTTGATGTAAGGGGAGAAAAACGACAGGCAAATGAATGTTTATTTATTTTTATGGTGATCATTAAGTTTGATTATTCAGAGTTTTAAATGTCTTTAACTTAGTTGAACTTATTGATGTATCCAACTGAATAATCATTACAATAGTTGAGATCATGAGTCATATGAAACTATACCATCATGGGAAACTTGGATCTCAACTATTGAAATTACTATGATATCCACAAAAACCCCTTCTGAATTATCATTCTTGTAAAGTGAAAATATTACTTACGCCTGTTACTACCAATGAAGCATAGGCCGCCGACCAGCATTCTCCGGCCCACTCTGTCCTAGACCTTCCTTTCTAGTTCTATTCAGTTGTTGTTTATTCTTCTCATGTCTGTTTCCATTTCTGGTGTAATGTGTTCTTTGGTTTACCTCTTTTCCTTTGGACTTGAGGATTCCGATTGAGGCCTTACCTTGTGACACAGTTCGCTGGTTTCCTCAATGTGTGACCCATTCACTTCCATCGCTTCTTCCTGATTTATTCCTCCTCTGGTTTGTTCTCTCCTATAGTAGGTTGTTTTTTATACTATCTGGCTAACGGATCCGAAGTATTTTACGTAGACAACTGTTTTCGTAGTTTTCCAACTTTCCGTCCTATGCAGTAGCACTGTCTTGACATTTGTATTGAGAACACTAACCAGAAAAGATCATTCAAAATTATTCAAGGTGAAAATATAATAATCCATAATGTTAACTAATTGATTTATATCTCTAATTCCAGCATTAAAAGTAAATAACCTACCAGATATACAATCTTTAGAAATTCAGTGTAGGTATTAATGTACTATCAATTCTTCCTTTAAACTACATAACTTTAATTCATTATGGTGAATATAAATGTGAATATAAACACATGTGATGTTTTATGGTATAGGAGTAGGTTGAAAGAAAGACAGGAGTGGCCAGATCAAAACATGGCACAGGTACATAAAGTCACTGACAAGTGGACTAAGTCATTTTGGTAGGTGTAGACCACGTGGTTGGTATCCGTGAGACGATAGTGAACGATAGTTAGAGACCTTGAATGAGATGGCTCAAAATCGTTGGCAATGCCGCAGGTGCATCCACTCTTTGTGTTTCCCCAAATTCTAATCTTCTGAATTCCTCATGTCCATTATTTTTTTCTCTTTCCAAATTTATTTCACTGGATTATACTGCTTGAATAACATCGTCAAACCCTAATCGTTCCGATTACTGCTTATACTTTTACTACCTGTACCACTATGGGATTTGAGTCGACAATTGTATCTGTGTGTCAATGTGGTATGGCAACTCGAACTGACGTACGTACGTACGGAGTTCTACGTCGTCACTGACTGACTGAGATTAGATAACCATCTTACTATTTCGGAAATTTTAAGACAAGGTTGGAAATTATAAACAATAATGGATAGTGGCTAGCAGTGGAATCCAGGACGCACGTTTCGTCCTATTTGAGACTACTAGCCACTGTCTATCTTTGCTTATAAAGTAATATCGAAGCAATACACATAGCATGCACCTATGCCAATAAGAGACTGATCAATTGCAGTCATAATGACATCAATGGGAAGATTCTAATAAACAATATCAGGTGAATTTAAGGCTGGAAATCGTTATGTAATATGATTTCAAGTAGATTTTATCTGACCTTAATATAATCTTAGATAAAAGCTGATATCAGCTACAAAAATCTTTATTCCTTGTTTAATTTATCCACTACATATGCCTTTCTGTGTGTTGACATCATTAATAATGTTGAATACACATTGATTATATTCACAAGTCCTATGTTCCAACATAGGCCCAAATATCTTTGTTTTTATCCCTCTAGATGTCATGAGCATTCATTATTAAAAGAGTTTTATCCTTGAATGCGATAAATATCTAATGTTCTACACCTTTAAAAGGTTATCTATACCAAGGTTATTGCTTTATATAAACCGTCTTCTTATTGCTGTAGGTTAATGTAATCTATCACTAATTTTTAATAGTTGAGATCATGCGTCAATTGAAGCTAGATCACCTTGGAAAACCTAGAAGCCAACTCAATGGTCTAGAGGTTAAGCATTCACACATGAGACCGATAGATCCTGAGTTCGAATCTCCCGAGACGGGATCGTGGATACGCACTGCTGACGAGTCCTATACTAGGACAAAACGGCCACTCATTACTTTCAGGTTTTCCATTGTGGTCTAGCTTCATTTGACTTATGATATCGACTATTAAACTTGTAATTCAATAATAAATATTAAGTATATTCATTGTTAAATTATAGTAAAAGCAGAACTTTTATGCATTCATCAACACTTCTAATAAATGAATATCATCTACCATAATGGGTTTTGTGGAGATTTTAGTCATTTCAATAGTTAAAATCATAAGTCAATTCAAGTTAGACATTAACACCACTGGATGCTGACCGGCTTAGTGGCCTAGGAGTTAAGCGTTCGCATGCAATGTCCTGAGTTTCGAATCTCGCGTTGGTCGGGATCATGGATGAGCACTACTGAGGAGTCCCATACGGGGATGAAACGACCGTCCAGTACATCCAGGTTTACCATAGTGATCTAGCTTCAACTGACTCATGATTTCAACTATTGAATTTCATCTACATTAATGAAGTGTATGTCTTATCTCTTCATATATTATTCAATTTACGTGTAAATGAATGAATGAATGAATGAGTGAGTGAGTGAGTGAGTGAGTGAGTGAGTGAGTGAGTGAGTGAGTGAGTGATTAGGTAAGAGAGCAAATGAAACAATGAATTAATATAGATAACAAAGAATGGATAAGAAAATGTGATTATTCTTTCTTTAGTAATTTTTTTTTCTATTTGATAACTTTGTATGTTTATTTTCCGGTTGTAACTAATGAAAAAAGAAAAAGAAAATTTTCTAAAAGAAAAAAATCGATTTCAGTAGTAGCAGTAGTAGTAGTAGTAGTAGTAGTAGTAGTAGTAGTAGTTCATATACATGAATTCTTTATCCAGCATTGATGTAACATGTAACTAAAGATAAACAAATCAGTTACTTAATCAATGGGTTTGGTATGAATGGGATGAATGAACTTCTTTGTTCCATAAATTCACTTTCACAAAAAGTAGTTGTGTTGTTCCACTTTGTATTTAAAATTGTTTAATGACATGTAGCATTTGGTTAATTAATGTATTGTAATGAATCGATGTATTGTAGAAATTCAGTGGGATCGTGGGTGCGCACTGTTGAACAGTCTTATACTAGGACGAAACGGTCGTCCAGTTCTCCCAGGTTTTCTATGGTGATCTAGCTTCAAATGACTCATGATTTCAATTGTTGACATTATTAAAATCTTCACAATATCCCTTCTAATATTTTCATACTTTACAAATTATCTATCATCTTTTTTATAAATGAGGTTTTAAAAGAAATACATGACCTTTGAGTTCATTTACAAGTGTATATACTAGACTCCATGATGACTTATTTTACTATAGTAGAAAGACAATAAGAAAGTTTTTTTTCTCTGTCAGTGTTATTGTAATGAAAAAGATTCTTTATCTTATGAAAGTGACGACAACAGTTGAAATATAACAGTAGCTTAACTCAGATTTATACCGTTAATCCTATGAGATTACCATTAAATTGCCTCTTTAATGTTACTTACTTACTTACGTCTGTTACTCCTCGTGAAGGAATATAGGCCACTTACCAGCATTACCTATTCAACTCTGTCCTGGGCAATCCTTTCCAACTCTTTCCAGTTGTTATTCATCCTTTTCATATGTACTTCTATTTCCCGACGTAATATATTCTTTGGCCTTCTTCTCTTTGATGTAGTAAATTATATAAACAATTTCTTACGACCTTCTATGTAATTAAATTCTTAACCATTGTATTCTTCTTTGATCTCGCATTCACTGACTAATAAGTTAAAACTTGATAATAATCTCATATTCTCACTAGTGATCAACTTCAAGAACCAGTTCTAGGGATAAACACTGATCGATGTAGCTCACTCGTTGTCAGACAATGAATAGTGATGACATAAACTAATCATTGCACTATATCACATATTAACTGAAGTTTAATGCCAATTCAATAATCTAAATGTAAGGAGTTGAAGCTTAAACGTTTTGATATCAATTACCAATAAAGTTGTG